GCAGTGCCAAAGTCCATCTAATTTAAACAAAGCACTCATCTGGAATTTCCAGTCCGAATAATTATCCCGTCCCTTAAGTTTTTCAATTGTCATATTTACTCCAGAGCTTGATTCGTTGTTTGCCATAATTTTTATTTTTATTTTTGATCAACAATCAACGATTTTTTTGTGTGTGCGTTTTTCTTGCTCTCGCCTAACCTCAAAAAATTTTCAATTTTTTTTAATTTTTTTTATCACGCTTGCTGGGCCCATAACCTGTTAGAAATGCTGACTGGCTACAGTGGCTGAGGACTAATTAAGACACAAATGAAATACACATTACTTTACACAAAGAACTATTGTTTTAATTTATAATTTCATGCTCGGAGTGCACATAAACAGAGAGCGTTTGACAGCTGGTATTTATTGACAGTTAAGACACTTCTTTTTTAATTGATACATCCAGCCTCAACTACTATTTCAAGGATATGATATAAAAGAGGTTACCTCAATATTGTGATCACAAACACAAACTACTGCTAACGTTTCGAGTTCGTACGAGTGATACTTTTCTTCTTCCTCTGCAGTCTGTCGGCTGAAGAAAAATACGGGCTTTAGGTTGCCATCTGCCTGTTTTTGTAACAAAATTCCACCAAGCCCAATTTTTGAGGCATCGATGTGGACCTCTGTTTCTAACCCAGGGTCATATAGGGCAAGTATAGATCTGTTGATCAAATCTCCTCTAAGTTTCGCAAAAGCATCATCCTGCTTTATACCCCAGTCAAATTGTACATCCTTTTTGGTAAGGAAGGTCAGAGGCTGGGCAATTTGTGCAAAATCTTCTCACATATTTCCTGAAATAGATGCATAGATCGATGAATTCGACTGATGCACATTTTTTGGAACAGGAAATGTCTCTACTGCAGAAATCTTCGAAGTACCGGGTCGGATACCGGCAGCACTAATTTCATGTTCTAAATAATCAATTTGCTCCTTAAAGAAATTATATTTTGACTGTCGCAAAGTGACACTTGTTTCAAATACATCCCCAAGAGCAACCAACCCAGACGCAACACTAGGAGAAGGGACAAGATGTCATCCATGTATGCTAAGGCAGGAGAAAATCTCATGGAGTCTAGGATCTGGTTAATCGTCCGTTGAAACACCGCTGGAGCATTTACTAATCCGAACGGCATCCTTAAATATTCGTATTGACCATCAGGAGTTACGAATGCTGTTTTTTCTCGGGAGTTCGCCATTGGTATTTGGTGGTAACCGCTCGCCCTGTCCAAGGTCGTAAAATACTTGCATCCTTTTAAAATCTCCAAATGGTCGTCCACTCTTGGTAAAGGATAATAGTCTTTCATTGTTTTTTGCGTTAACAGCGCGGTAGTCTACGCACATGCGTGTTTTACCAGTTTTCTTCTTAACCAATACAATTGGACTTGAATAAGGCGATCTGGACTCTTTTATAACATCGGCTGACAGTAGTTCATCAACTATTCTGCGCACCTTCTGCCTTTTATGCATAGAAAGTCTATATGGTCTATATTTCACAGGATTTTCACGATTTAAACGAATTTCCATTTCTGCGGATCCAATCTGACCTAGTTCTTTCAAATTTTCCGCAAAACAATCGCGATACTTGTTTAACAATAATACAAGATTATTTAAATCGGTTCTAGATAACTTTTCTGACACACAAGTGGTTAAATCATCCAAGGAAAATTTTTCCAAATTATTTAACAGGTAGGTACTTACATTTTCGTCATAAGGAACGCAAGGAATACCTCTTGCAATTACCCTATTTGGTCCAAAACAGATCACATCTTTTGAAACATTTCAAATTGGAATTTTCAAATCTCCTGAAGATATGACACATCTGGACAAAACATATTCTTTGCCTGGTTCAAAACGTTGACATAGGTCTACAAAAATATCACCTTGATAGTCATTTTTCATCATACAACTCACCAGTCCTATGTGGTTTGAGGAAATTTTAGTGGAAACAGTTGCCATCAAAACTATCTTTTTAGGTGGAAGTTCATCAATTTTTGGTAAGTCAGTTAAACCACTGCTGAAAACTCTAACAGTTTCTTTACGAACTACTGTTATCGCATCACTTTTATTCAATACTGACCTACCAATTAAAACTGTCATATTCTGCAATTGATTGGGCACAATAAAGACTAAAGTTTCAACTTCCAATAAATCTACTCTCAGATTCGTTTTGACATTGCCCAAAACCTTCATAATAGCCCCTCCTTATCTATTTAGAGTACCTAACATTGCACCAAGTAAGGCCAACAGTTTTTGCATCGGATTCACGAATTAATACGACCTCGCATCCGGAATTAATAAAACTATGTCCGTTCACTTCACAAGTCACATAATAACCATCTGACTTTGAATCAGGCTTGGTTTCGCACATTAGCGCTTTATGTGAAGTACTTGGCTCTGTGTATTCAACAAGGTTGTTCTTGAGTGATTTGATTGTTGTCTACTAGTTACTGTAAATGAGATTTCATGGCAGCTTCAAACCAAAGGTTGAAGGGAAAATCTTTCGACCACGTCCATGAAAATTTTAAGAGGTGTAGGTACAATTGCATCGTTAAAATTTTGGAACTCGTAAATACAAGAAAAGCAATTCAAAGTACCAAGATATAGTATGAAAATACTTGAATTTTAACGTTTCTCTCGGACACCAGACTCGTTAAGAAAATCCATCGCCTGTTTAGTCTTTTGTACACGATTTCAGTAAATTTCAACAGCGAAGATGAGCTACTCAAGCGACATAATGGGTAAAATTGCACATAACTGTAAACTCATAAATATTGCAAAGTTACAAGAAACAACGGATCATGGATAAACCATAAACGTTAACAAAAGCCCTTTTAGTACAAAACCATGACCTGCTCAACCGCGACTAATTGCAATATTTCCTAAAAGAGCTCTTACCTCATAACCATTTCTTTTGTATGTCAGCATCACTTCGTGACTTATCATATAAATTAAACAATTTGCGAATAAAACACCCAGCAATAAATCATAACAAAAATTTGTTAAATTTACGACGTCCTAGTTTATTGAATTTACGACTTTGTTACAACGTCGATTATTGTAAAATAGTATCATTTGACCTGTGGAGGTTTACACCTACCTACCGCAAACGAGTCTCTCCATATATCATTTGGATGCGTGAAAATTATAGCCAGTAGGTATAGTGTAAATGGTTTTACATATTACATGGTAATTTGATGGTGAAAAAATTTAATGTTTGACACCATTAAAACCATGAGAAAATTTATTTCAATGAAGTAAAAATTCTAGTAGCAGCTTACATGTAAACAACATATCATGCAACTTATTATACCTATGGCTATACCTACATACTCCATATTTTTCAGACTTAAAGCGCATTTCATATCAAAGGCAAATTACGAATGTCTTGGGTTAAAGAAATGTCCTCGCTCAATGCGTCTCAAAGAAACCGAACTGTTATGCTACATATCAATTGCAACAAAGTTAAAGATTTATAGATCGAGTTGTTCTGGTTAATAACGTAGGTAAAGGCAGCGCTAGATAAAAAAGAATAATTGGTAAACTATATATTGCAACTAATTTCATATTTTATACATATATTTTTTTTATTTTATTCTTGAATTTTTTTCTTGTAAGTTTCTTCAATTTTTTTAAACTTTTGTAATTTATTATTATCTCTCGGAGGAATATTGTTATTAGATATGATAATTTTGAGTTAATTTTCTCCGCTTTTCCATCCACAAACACATTTTGATCTATCAGAGAGAGACCCAAGAAACCCAACCCAAGTTTAGACAAACCACATTGATGACAAACAAAACTCAAAGTTGTTATCCAATTTTCTCCCCTAACACTAATTAATTAATTAATAATCATCATCTACCCGGTTTTTAGTCTAAAAACTATCAAATAATCACCTGTTCAGAGATAGCAACGTAGTAGCAACACGATAGCAACAAAGGTCAAGAAACCTCGGCAACAGCGCTTCCTGAAAAGGATCAACAAGTGTCCCATAACCACACTTATCCGGGGAAAATAAATAACCGGGAAAATGTAAATATAAGTGCAAATAAGGGTGAAAAAGCGATTTAAAGGGTGTGAAAGTGATTTGTGGCGTTGCAGAATTTTTAATAATGGAAAATACGAGACTCGTAGTGTTGCCAATTGATATTTATTCGGAAGTAAACAAACATTTTCATCAACAGTTAGGGCTTTTCAGACAACTGGCTCCACGGCCAAAATTCGCTATTCATTATTAGATATGTTTAACTTTTGTGTCTCCGTAATGTTTGCAATAATGTTATTATAGTTTGAGTCGTCTAAATCATCTATTGCATTAGATGATCAATATATTTCATTATGTTTTATATTTGTCAATTAATCTAAAAGATAATTAATTTCTGTTGAAATTATTCAAAGCAAAACTGTAAATCCGTCGAGTCAAATCATCAAAATCGGATTCACCGACCACACTTTTGCTGATTAGCAAAGTAAAATCTCGTTAGGAGCCGCGAAATTAACAATATGATAATGAATGCGGGTTTCATCGTTATATTATCATTACATTTAACAGTTACAGAATGATTATAATAAGAAAGATGGAACTACTTCTGGTACTATCTGACGGCCCACCGGTATTTGAATGTTTGCATATCGTCTGGGCGCTGATTAATTCGCAGAGGTTAACGTATTTAAGAAAAAAAATTGATGAGTAATTCTAATCAAAATAATTAGCATATATAAGATTAATTATCCCCTCAAATATAAATAATGGATATTTGTTAAGTTTCCAGTTATTTTGGCTCAAGTTTCTAATAACCTAATCTAAGAAATATTTTTTATCTCTATCAAAATCGACAATTTCTTCTCTGGTACAGAAAATTCCAAATAGCAACTTCTTTCACATAAAAATGTTACTTAATTTTTTAAAATTTTTTTTCGTTATTCGATAATAGACGAATTCTTGTATTGTTTTCCAGGGCTCAGGGAAGATGTGGAGACCAATTTGCCAACTTAGGCATATTTTCTTTTCTACATATATTTCTGGGGCCATATTGTTGGTAAGTAGCACCTTTGATTTCCACTTAAATTAATTTAAATTTTGAAGCAGGTCAAAAAGTAACAATAGGTAGGTACTATTAAAAGAGAAAAAGTGTTTGCAACCTACTGACAGTAAAACGACAATAAACTGAAACAAGTTATTATTTATTGTTGTTTTTCACCAGTCAAGTGTGTAAAATTCAGTTTTAAATTACCTAGTTACCTACACGACAGCAGGTGATGTGTTTAGCTAATCTCATGACACATAAAAAGAATGTTATTAAAATTAACACTTTTAAAAAGCAATAGAAATAATCAATTTGGTATTCTACAAAAAGACGAGAATCAGCAACTGTCTTAAACAGTAATTAGGCTTTGAGTTGTAGAACAAAGTTCTTTAAACTTGGGCCTGGAAAATCCAAGAACAATCTAATCTATCCAATTCTTTATTAGCTTTGTTGAATATTTTTTTGTTTTTCCTGCACAATTTCATAATGACGCTGGATTTATGTGTGAAAAGTCCGTTTCAATAGTGTCCATTTTGATATAAGCAATCCATCGGGAAGACCAACTTGTTTCAAAAACTCATTATCGTTGTCGTTTCTCCTCTGTCTCCTTTCGCTTCATTATTTTCCTCCATTTCCAAAATTGTCCTAGGTACTCTTTTCTCTCCAACATTCTCTATACTTATTTCGGACTCAGCACTTTTCCGCAGCTTCCTGTCTAAGGTCTGGTCTTCAGCATCCGTGCACGCGAAGACTGTCTGAGCGGGCTCTTATCCGCAAAAACAGCATTCGTTCGTTTTCGCCTTTCTAATCTTCTTCAAGTAGGTCCCGAAGATTCCGTGGCCTCTCATTGCTTGTGTTGCACAATAATCAGTTCCTCCTCCCTTCCTATTGATCCAACCCATCATATGCTTTCCATCTTTTCTGCCAGTTGTGGACAAACTGGTCCCTCGCATCACCTTTACTTCATTGTAAGTTTTACATCTTTTTTTTATGGCTAGGTCGATCGGTGGTAATCCCGCCAGCACTCGCGTCGCAACCATCGAGGCCGTTCTGTAGGCAGAGGTTTTATAAAGGAGGAATATTCAAGAGATGCCAATTCATCAGGACCAGATGTTTTCAGAAAATTCCAATGTTACACTTGCAATGCTTTATTTAAAACTGAATCACATTTGAAATATCATTTAGTGTCACATTTTGATATTTTTCCTTTTGAATGTGACACTTGCGAAGCAAAATTTGCACGAACAGGTGATTTGAAGAATCACAAACACATTCGGATATTTATACTTTTGAATGTGACACTTGCAAAGTAAAAAAACGAAAAGGCGATTTGAAAAGACACAAACTGACACATTCGGATATTTATTTTTTTGAATGTGACACTTGCAGAGCAAAATTTAAACGAGAAACCGAATTGAAAAATCACAAACTAACACATTCGCATATTTATTTCTATAGTCAATCTTCTATTCACCCTTTCTAAAGTCCTGAGGTGATTTTTATATTTTATCGCAGACTTCCATATCGGTGCAGCGTACAGTATTGCAGAGGTCATTGCGCTAACTACAATCCTTCTTTTGTTGCTTTTTGGTACTCCAACCTGCGGCATTATCCTCATGGGTAAGTTTAGCATCCTGTTGGCATTTTCTGCTACTTTGTTATTATTTGTTGTCATCTTCAGGTCCTCATCAGAATATACTCCTGGTACTTCACCGCCCTCTGGATGTGTATTATGTTGTTATTCAAGCTGATTTCTAGTAGGTGCCTTCCTCCTCCTGGCCATAATGATCATCTCCGTTTTCTTAGTTGCGACAGATATTTTCATTTCTGTGAGGTTTTCGGTCACCCTCGCGACTGCGCTCTGTGCTTTGTCCTCTAGTTATGTTCTTGTTTTTGCTCTCACCACGATAGCAAAATCTTCTGCATATGCGATCAGCTGTGCGCCTTCCTCTGTTTCGATGCCTAGGATCTGGTCATAGAAAATGTTCCATAATAGAGGTCCTATGATGGATGGATCCTTGGGGCACCCCGCATGTCATCTCGTATGTTTTGTTTTTTGGCGCAATGATGCTTCTCTCTGATATTTGCTGACTCCTCCGTCCTTTATGGCCTTTCTGATGCCGTCCCATGGTACTGAATTGAATGCGTTTTGTATATCTAGTAATATCATGACGCAGAAGTAACGATTTTTCCCTGCTTTGCTTTTGATGTCTACCCATATGTTTTTTAAGCATTTGTGAGCGTCAATGGTCGTTCTCCCTTTTCTAAAGCCGTACTGGTTTTCGCTTATCACGTTCTTCTCATGCGTTTCCTTCAGAAGTCTATTTCGGATTAGTATTTCGCAGCTTTTCACGTCTTCGGGAAGACTCCCCTTCTTAGGCATCCATTGTATACTTGTAGAAAGGCCTCAGGGTCCTCTTTAGATTTGTCTACCTCATTACTCGTTATCTCCACTCTGCTAACTGTTGTTTTGGGGCATTTTGGGAGCAGTTTTTGAACTTGTCGATCTATGGTCCCTTCATCAATTTGGCATCGTTACTTGAGTTTAAATCTGTTTGTTACAATCTGGTAAGCCTTGCCCCAGATGTTTAACTCTAATTCCTCGCATACCACCTTCCATTTTTGTTTTTTTTCTATTGCCAATCTCCCTCTTCAGATTCCTTCTGGCCTCCTTGTATTTCTCTCCGTTCTTCCATTATGTTCTCATTGTTGGTTTGTCCTCGCGCCCTTGTGAGCTCTCTTCTCTGCCTGTTGCACTCTTTCCGTTCCTCCACAATTTGTTCGTTCCACCAGTAAACTGGTCTGTGCTTGTCTGTTCGTGTTCCTGCTTTCTGCATGCCCTCGTGATATCCTGTATCAATGTCTTCCCATCTATATCGTCTTTGTTCCGGAAAATTGTGCTGCTTTCTCTCGCTAATTTCACCACCCTCTGAGTCTCCCCTCTCCTGTTCGTTTGGGTGCAGCTTGGAGCGTGTAGGTTATAGTGCGGTGGTCACTTAGGTTTTCCAGGATTTCGACTTCTCAGTCATAAATTTGTGTGCTTATCGCTGGTGACGCCACCTTAAAGTCGATTATTGAGTTTCTATTTGGTCCAATAAATGTTGGTGTGTAGTATGTGTAGATCCTTACCCGCCAGCCATTCTTTTAGGATGATGCTTCTTTGGTTCGTCGTTGTAGAACCAAGAGCCATCGTCTTGGCGTTTAGGTCGCCCCCTATGATAGTTCCTTTGTCTGTTCGCCTTATACTCGGTTTAGTAATCTCTCAAAATCTTGGATCTCGCCGTTTGGCGAGAAGTAGCAGGATATCACCGCTACTTTTTCCATTTCCACAAACACATATCCCCGATCACAGCGGTAGTTTATCACATTCATGTTTCCTACATTCACAAAACAATCACAGTTAATATCACAGATTACGTTACTAATTCTTTTCCTATTTGGTTCTTGCTCCAATATTACGTCAATTTCGCACTCTCTAAATCTTTGGTTCATTTCGTGTGCAGCTGCACTCCTGTTGAGGTTTATCTGCATACATTTTATTGATAGTTCTGTTCACAGATTCCTGCCTTCCGTTCTTTCCTTGAAAACGAGAGTGCTCTGCGGAGGGCAAGTGTGCTGCAGTATGTCCCTTTGCATTACTTGGTTTCTAGCCCATACTCCAAGCATCTTTTCACTCTGAGCCTTTCATGTGGCGCATCCTGATTTTCCTCCTGTTAAGTAGTGCTTGCCCCTTACTTTCGGGCACGTCCATGGTTGCGTTCTGGGTTCCGTCCCTTCAAGGCCTTAAGCTGCTTAGCTAACACTCATCCGTTTCCATTTATCCGACTATGTAATTAACTGCCTCGATAATCTCCTCTTTGGTGGTTGTGATATCCATTTCCCTTATATGTAGTGCCATTTGTGGTTTGTTCACTCCCGAAGTTCTAATCTTGACTTCTTCTAGTGTCTTTACTAACTTCATTCGCAACTTGTTTAGGCTTTCTTCGTCCTTTTTCATGGTTATCAAAACCTTTCCCTCCTTGGTTTCTCGGACCGTGTTGATGTTTATTGTCAGGTCGGTTTTTTCGACTAGCTCTTTGATTCTCCTTATGTTTTCTTTCGACTCTTCATCTTTATTATCTACAATAAAGGCGTAGGCTTGTCTGTTTCCTGCTCTGCCAAGAGTTCCGTTCCCCCTTCTTTTGTTGCATTCATTGCTTGTTTGGTAGTGTAGGTTGCTATGTTTGATTTGGCGTCGAAGAAGACAGCTTCTACCATTTTCCTGAATTTAATTAGGCCTATTGTCATCGTTTTGAATATGACACTTGCAAAGCAAAATTTAAACGACAATGCATTTTGAAGATGCACATGTTAACACTCGGATATTCATCCCTTTGGATGTGACGCTTGCAAAGTAAAATTTAATGAAAAAGACCATTTGAAGAGTCACCTAATGACACATTCAGATATTCATCCTTTTGAATGTGACATTTGCAAAGCAAAACTTAAATGAAAAGACGTTTTGAAGAGGCACATGTTAACACACTCGGATATTTATCCTTTTGAATGCGATACTAGCAGAGCAAAATTTAAAAAAAAAGCGATTTGAAGATTCACATGTTAATACACTCAGATATTCATCCTTTTGAATGTGACACTTGTAAAGTGAAATTTAAACGAGAAGGAAATTTGAAGAGGCATATGTTAACACACTCGGATATTCGTCCTTTCAAATGTGACACTTGCAAAGCCAAATTTAAACGAAAATGCATTTTGAAGATGCCCATATTAACACACTCGGATATTCATCTTTTTGAATGTGACATTTGCAAGTGTCACAGTGAGTGATGAACGACAACCCTATGTGTCTGCCTTGATTTGCTGTAGGCTTTCCCATATTTTTTGGTCCGTGTGCTCCGTGTTTATTTTGATAATCATTTGCGTCTTAGTATCTTCTGCTACGAAAACCATACTTTTACGGTGCTGGTCTCCGTTCTGAGCAGATTTCCTATTTCCTACCGAGTGCGTTCGTA